TTAGTGACTTGACGAGAAATTGCCTTTAATTTATTTCTGTCATCATTTAAAGATAAACTATATTCTTCATATATTAATACTTAAGTTCCTCCTTAAGAATAATATGCTGGATTTAAAAAAAAAAATAAGTAAAAGAAAATCAGATAGACATACTAACTAGTAAGACATTCAGCCCATTCTTCTACCTAAATGTGTTTTTGTTTTTTTTCTCTTAACATTATTGATTTTGGCCCACAGATAAACCCAGTCACCGTGAGTGATAAACTATCACCAAATCCCATTGACTTTTTTTCTCTTTTTGCTGTAGTTTTTGTCAGGTCAATGAATTATCCTTGGCTTATACTTTGTTCTCTAAGGCATTAATCAAGATTTTTTTAAAATGTTGGATTCTCACAAGTTTAGGTGGATAAAAAAGGATATCTAAGTTATTGTTTACTTACAATGCCTTGCTCTGATTCATAGAATAACAGTGTCACTGCTATTTATTAATGATCAAAACTGGTTTATTTTTATTATTTTTTAATTTGTTAATGAGCAAAAATAAAGGATTTGCTTTGTTTTCTTTAACATCAACAGCCACACTTCTGTAAATGCAATTAGTAAAGATCAAACCATATAGTCACATGGTATTATTAATAATGATAAATATTTATTACATGTTTAGCTTTTGGCAGATGCCATATTAAATAAAATCTGTCTATCTATCTACTATCTATCATCTCTCAATTCATATACCTATTAATCTAAAATAATTTACATCTAAATCTGGAAGATAGACACTCTCCTTTACTTCATAAAGTTGAAAACTGAGGCATGAAGTGGCTATGCAATTTTCTCCAATTAACAAATCTAGTATGTAATGAAACAAAAATCTGAATCCAGGTCTTCTTATTTAGAGCCTATAGGCTTTTAAGATTAAATTATACCATATATACTGGTTCTTTAATGTAACAGCAGAGTAATTATATATAATAAAATGTTCATATGCAAATAGACCAAACAGTGGAACAACCGAACAACTGGCCGTTATGATGTGCGCTGACCACCAGGGGGACGCATGTGGAACATAGCAGGCATCAGCAGCAGGCAGCAGAGCGCAGAACATGGCAGGCATCAGCCACGGCAGGATGGTGGAGCAGGTGAGTGGGGGAGCCAGACCAAGGCGGGAGTCATTTGCTGCCATCAGGGAGAGACTCTCTAATAGTTGCTGACAATTCTTTGTTCCTGCACACCAAGGTTTTCCCCCTGGTGGCGCCCGGCGTTGGCCCTGACCACTCGATGCTGTCAGTGGGTGTGAGAGGCCTTATGTGAAAATTAAGTCTGGTGTCTGTATGTCACTCATCCAATAATTGTCTCCCCTCTAGTACATTCAAACTTTTCATTGTCACAGTAATGTTGCAATTTCTAATTAAAAACTATATTTTACATTGTATAATTTTAGTCAATAAACATAACTCATTGAGTCAGATAATAATATACAGCTAACCTATTTTGAACTATAACTGATATTAAATAGGATATTTGGAATTTTTGCAAACATATTTCTTCCCTCTTTATAATTTTTACTAATGGGATCAAGATTTTTTTTAAGTACTTTCAATATCCTAGAGAAAGTTTACAGAATACCAATTTTCTAATTTCCTTCAATGATATTTTTTCACAAGAGGTGTAACACAGACATTGAAGTGCTAATAAAAAGCAAAAATAATTTATTGTATTTATAACATAAAGTCTTACTGTAAGTCCATATGCTATTTTGATGTTATTTAATATTTTGTAAATAGATCATGGATTTTTATTTATACTTTCTCAAGCCTTATATTTGAGGTATAACAGGCAAAGAAAATCTAACAAAGGTGTAATATGGAGTATCAAAGAAAAAGAAAGAAAATCAAAGGACAATAAAACAGAGAAAATATTTTAAAAAGTGTGTATAAAACTTGAAACAGTATATTAAGATGCCATGGATTCACTAGCAATATGATAAATGATCTTCTGAAAAAAATGTAATTCATGCCTCTTCCTTACCTAAGACCATTCTTTCCACTGTACTTCAAATTAAACTCTAATTCTTTATTTTTGGAGGCAAAGCTACATATTGTCTATTTTCAACGTCTGCTAAACTCAGCTTCGCCATGTTGTTTTCTACACTGCGGCCTCAGTGGCCTATGTTTTCTCAGCAAACTTATTCCTGCCTTCACGTCCTTATTCAGGTATTCTTTCTGAAAACAACAAGGTAATTTTTCCACGAGCTTCTTGTATGACTGATATTTGCATCATTTCATATTTTCTATTAAATGTCAAGTTTTTAGAAAGACTTTCTCTGAATATGCAACCTAAATAACCCCATTTTGCCACTCTCATATTATTCTGGCTATTGCCTTTGTTGAACTTTCTAAGTTGTCATCCATTTCTTTCCTTTTTACTGACTGTGTTCTCATCTCTAACATATAAGTGTCTGAGATTATAGATATTGCATAACATATTCACTGTTTTATCCTTAGCATTATGTCAATTGAAACGTATCTAAATGCTCAGTATATATTTATAAAATCAAGAATAGCCATTTTAAGAAATGAGAGGGGGGATCTATGTAATACTATCAACAATAAAGACTTTTTTTTTTTTTTAAATAGGCCATGTTTTAATCTATTATCATTTAAACAAAACATACTCCTTTATTCACTTTTCTGTAACATGATTTTTAAGAGCATAATGATGTATGAAGACTGACATTTGAAATAATAAATCTTAAACAAAAATATTAAGGTAATGTGAGTTGATGTGATAAGCAATATGAATTATAAATTGTTAGGTGTTTTTTTTTACATGTTGAGGGATTCACATTTACAAAAATGTTTCCTTTTTAAATTAAATAACTCATTTGATCTTTTATTTTTTTTAAAGGAATATTATATTTTATTGCTGTGAAACAAATTATCACAAATTCATAATAATGCCCATGCTTTTGTTCAAAATTCTTTAGCACAGAAATTTAGACATGGTATGGGCCTCATGAGAGCAAAATCAAGATGTTAGCATAACAGTTTTGTCATCTAGAGCTCAATATTTGTTTCTAAGCTCACATGGCTGTGGAAGAAATAAATTCCTTATGGTTATGAACTAAGCTTGTTTTCTAACAGTTTATCAAATGAAAGCCATTCTTAGGCCACATATGCCAGTCTCCCTCCTTGCCACATTTACTCCTTTATCTCTGCAGCCAAATATAAAGATCTCTGTCATTCTTTCTCATGTCAAACTCCTCTCACACTTCTAATGTCTTTAAGATTTCATCTGATCAGGCCACTCTCACTAAAAATTCTCTCTCTCTCTCTCAGAATTAACTGTTCCTATAACAACATAAACCTAATCACAGGATTTATCTACACATGTGGGTTCCAAACTGTAGGTTAAAAATACTATTTTTGATCGTGGTTAGTTCAATCCACAGAAAAAACCAGGGATATGTATAAAGTCTATGTAAAAGGAACCTCCACAGTTCAGTTCTGTGTTGTTCAAGGGTCAACTGTATAAAGAACTCACAAATAAATAACAAGAAAGCAACTCTTAAAATGGGGAAAAATCAACAGACACGTACATGAATGGCTAGTAAACACATTAAAAGATAATAATACCATCAATCATCAGACAAATTTAAAATAAAATCACAGTATAATACTACCACACACCCAGTAGATAGCTAAATATTTAAAAATTAAATTAATAAGATCCAATGTTGAAAGTCAATAGCTAAATCTGAACTCTCATATATGTCTTCAGAGAATGGATAATGGTTCCACATTGAAAAACCTCATGGCTGTTTCTTAGAAAGTTAAATGTATAATTTACCAAATAATCCAGACATTCCACTCTTGAGTATATTTGAAAGTATATTTTCATTCATAAATATCATTCTATAAGAATGTTCATAGCGCATTTTCTATAGTAGACAATACTATGAAACAACCTACATATTCATCAACAGAGGATAAATAAGTAAATTGAAATATTAAATTATCTAGATCAGGAGACTATTAGACTGAGGTAGTTCTAATGCTGTAGTAACCTACATAAGCAAACCCAAATCTCAGCTTGTAAATGCCTTAAGGTTACAAAACCAAAATGCTAAGGACAACCAAGCTACAGCCAATAAAATAATTTTCTTTCATTGCTACCACATTTTCTCTACATGAATATACCCTGCTTTCTGAAAGTCTACCTTAAGCCACTTTGCTTTATAAAAGGTCTGCATTAGTAAAGTAATAAATTTTTCTTTAAAGCAAAATGCTCACCACACTTTTGGTTAGTAAAAACATGTACCAGCACTAGTACAATAATAGTGTTTCATAAAAGCAAAAATCTTTAGATTTCTTCTTGTTAGTAAAAACAGATACCAATGTAGGTCTTTCATAAAAACTTTTTTGTAAAAGCTTATGGAATGCTGAGATTCTCTTTACTCCAGTTAGGCTTATGAAAGCTTTCAAAGATAACCTCTCCTTTTGGTTAGTGAAGAAACCTGTAAAAATATTTCTCCAGGCTTCTCTCTGGGGAGCACTACTAACCAGACAGGTTTGGTGCTGTCCAATGTGAAACATTTTTTATTCAAATAAATTTGTAAAATTTTCTATCCCTCAGCTTACCTTTTATCCAGATTATGTGATATACCTAAGCAAAAAAAAAAAAAAAAAAAAAAAAAAGCAACTATACATATAATGACATAGATGAATCTTCAAAACATTGTGCATGGCATGGCTGGTGTGGCTCAGTGCTTGCGCATCAACTTATGAACCAGGGGCTCATGGTTCAATTCCCAGTCAGGGAAAACTTGCCTGGGTTGCAGCTCAATCCCTGGTGTGGGTCCTCCAGGAGACAGCTGATCAATGATTCTCTCTAATAATTGATGTTTCTGTCTCTCTCTCCCTCTCCCTTCCTCTCTGAAATCAACAAAAATATTTTTTTAAAAACACATTTTGCTGAACAAATTAAATCAGATTTAAAAGAGAAATGTTTAAGTCTAAGTGAAATTTAATAACAGATAAAACTTTTTTAAATGACAAAAAATGTTTATGTTGTCTTTTCTAGGTGATGAGTTAGCAACTGGGAGTTTAGATATTGATCATGCTACCACTTGCATGAGTGTAAATATATGTCAAAATACACTGCTAACACCTTTGCACTTCATCCACCGAAAACTTTTCGGTGGGTGAAGTGATATCAGATTCCATTAAAAGTCTGAAATTAATAGTAGGCTGTTCTTTACTTAAAAACATATAAAGACATTTCATGTAATACTGGATTGGTGGTGATGAACTTCTTCAACTTTTTTTTTTTTTTTTGTCTGTGAAGCTCTTTATATGACATTCAATTGTAAAATGTAGCTTTGCTGGGTAGAGTAATCCTGATTGTAGGTCCTTGATACTCATCACTTAGAGTATTTCTTGGCACTCTTTTCTGGCCTGCAAAGTTTCTGTTAAAAAATCAGCTGACAGTCATAAGGGCACTCCATTGTAGGTAAACTAACTGTCTTTCTCTGTTGCTTTTAATATTATCTCTTTGTCTTTAACTTCTGACATTTTAATTATGATGTGTCTTTGTGTATGCTTCTTTGGGTTCACCTTGTTTGGGACTCTCTGAACTTCCTGGATTTGTATGTCTATTTCTTTCACCAAGTAGGGGACATTTTCTATTATTATTTCTTCAAATAGGTTTTCAATTTATTGCTCCCTCTCTTCCCCTTTAGTTACCCTCATTATGTGAATATTGGTACACTTGAAGGTATCCCAGAGGCTCCTTAAACTATCTTCATATTTTTGTATTCTTTTTGCTCTTCTGATTGGGTGTTCTTTGCTTTCTCACATTCCAAATTGCTGACTTGATTCTCTATTATTTATTCCCTGTAAATTATTCTTCATTTCTGTTAGTGTTTCCTTAATATCTGACTGGTCATTTTTCATGTCTGATGTTCTCACTAATTTCCTTGAAATTCTCACTAAGTTCCTTGAAACTCTCATTAAGTTCCTTAAACAATCTTATAACCATTGCTTTGAACTCTGCATCTAGTATGTAGTTTGATTGATTCCATTTCATTTAGTTCTTTTTAATAAATACTTATCTATCAACAATTAAATATAAAAATCAAAATAAACAAACAAGGAATCTAATGAACAAAATAAACTGATGAATAAAATAGAACTAGATGCATGGAAACATGGAACAAACTAATGAATGTCAGAAGGAAGGGGGTAAAAATAGAATAACCAAAGAATTTATATGCATATATGCATTACACATGCACACAGACAATAGGTTGGTGAAGACCTGGGGCAGGGTGGGATCTGGGTAATGGAGAAAAAAAGGCTGGGGATTTCTGTAATTCTATCAACAATAACAATATTTAAAATGAACAAATAAATAAAGAGTAAGAAAGAAAAATATCACCATGTATATATATCTACAAAACTTGAAAACTATGGAAAATAACAGATCTAGCAATCATCCACAGTGACAGCCAACATTATAGAAAGAGGTTCAACTTCATAACATGTTCTCTATGACCAAGGTCCATAAGTTTAATACCTATGTTGTTGTTTTTTAATTCTTTATTGTTGATAGTAGTACATATGTTCATTTTTACCCCATTGACCTCTTCTAGCTTACCCCATCCAGGCATACCCCAGGCATACCCCATCCTATACAAAGGATCACACTAGAATATTATGAAAAACTATATGTTTCCAAAATCAATAACCTAGAAGAAATAGATAACTGCCCTCCCCTGCTGGCCTGTTCACCCACAATTGCCCTCCTTTGCAGACCTGGTCCCTCCCAATTACCCTCCCCTGTTGGCCATCTTGGGTCAACATGAGGGCAGCCATCTTGTGTGTTGGAGTGATGGTCAATTTGCATATTACTCTTTCATTAGATAGGATAGAGGTCTGGAGCATGGGTGGGGGCCAGCTGGTTTGCCTTGCAGGGTTTCCCAGACCATGATGGGGGTTTCCTTGGGGCATGGGGTGGCCTGGGAGAGGGGCCTGTGGTGGTTTGCAGGCCGACCACACTCCCTAGCGATGCAAGTGGAGGCTCTGGTATCTGGGATTTATTTCTATTTTATAATTAAAACTTTGTAGCCTTGAGCAGAGGCCAAGGCAGGCCAGGAAGGGCAGAAAGCTTGGCTTCCTCCATCGCTCGGGAAACCCAAGCCTCTTGCTTGCTCTGTGGATGCTGCCATTTTTGTTGGGATTTACTTATCTTCTGTAATTGAAACTTTGTAGCCTTAAGTGGAGTCCAGGGCTGTCAGAGTGTACAGGAAGCTTCACTTCCTACATTGCCAGGAAAACCCAAGCCACAAAAATTGGAGAGGGTCACAATACCAGATATCAAACTGTACAACAAATCCACTGTAATCTAACAATCTGATACTGGCACAAGAGCAGGCATTTATGTCGATGAAACAGAATGAGGATCTCAGAAATTGACCCACATCATTATGATCAATTAACATTTGACAAAGGAGGTAAGAACATACAATAGGTTAAAGACGAGCTCTTCAATAAATGGTTTTGGGAACATTGGACAGTTACATGCAAAAATAACGAAACTGGATCACCAACATACACCATACACAACGTACACCATAACTAAAAATGGATAAAAGAGTTAAATGTAAGTTGTGAAACCATAAAAATCTTAGAAAAAAACATAGGCAACAAAATCTCAGACATCTAACATACCAGAATTTTCATGGATACATCTCCTAGGGTGAGAGAAACAAAGGGGAAAAAATAAACAAATGGGACTGCATCAAACCAAAAAGCTTCTGTGTAGCAAAAGAAACCATCAACATCCTTGGCCAGTTTGGCTAGTTAATAGAGGATTGACCTGCAGACTCAAGGATCTCAGGTTCGATTCTGGTCAAGGATATGTACCTTGGTTGCGAGCACATCTCCAGTGGGAGTTGTGCATGAGGCAGCTGATCGATGTTTTTCTCTCATCGATTTTTCTAACTCTCCCTCTCCCTTCCTCTCTGTAAATATCAATAAAATATATTTTAAAAAGAAAAAGAAATCATCAACAAAATGGAAAAGCAGCCCACTTTGTGGGAGAATTTGCCAATGACACATCTGATAAGAGGTTAGTTCCCCTGCTCCCTCTCCCCAAAAAAGTGTTGTGTTTTTGTTTTTTGTTGTTTTTTTAATTATAGAATTATAGAGATCCTTTGAAAAATTATATCTATATATGTGAAAATCTTTCTATAACCTAGGCACTGGCATACAATATTAATAATCAAAAGCCTAGTTATAATTAAGTCTGTCAGGAAGCTTACCCTTTTCATTCATTTGTTGATAATGACCTTAATACAGACTAGTAATATGATTATTTAGATATTTTCATACAGGTTTCAATTCACTTTTCTCCTTTAATTGCTTGGAGTATTTCTGCTTATTGCCTATATATTTCTTGCATGAATTTTTAAACTTATGGTTGGTACAATGAGATTTGCAAAAGCAAAATGTCAACCTTAGCTAAGAGAAGCAAAGAAAGACAGAAAACTAGTGATGTTCTTCATTGGTGAGATTATTTTCACCAACACTGCCTCCCTCGCAACTTCTATTCTTCTATCCTAATGTAATCATACTAATGTAAGAGCTTATGGTGCTGTTATGTATAAAGTTGAAAATGGAAATAACTAATCAATGCTTTGCATTCTAGAAGTAGTGCTATCTCATACACCTTATTTATTAGTTAAAATCTACGTATATCTTTCAAACACATGAAAACCATCTTGATGTTTGTCTCTTGAGATGCTTTTGGAAAGAAAAGCAGTGGTTTAAAAAATCTTCTAAACTTCTGGTGAGAAAATATATTTTTCTTAACTTATGTTTATTCAAGAAAAAGAAACTATTTTCCTCAAAAACAATATGGTTAGCAATTAAATAGATAGGAAAAAGAAGAATCAAATTTCCAGAGATCTTTTTATAAAAATAAACTAGATATGATACATTTCAGTAAAAATTCATTTGAATGCTACCAAAAGTCTATCTTAGCCAGACAAATCCTTAGCAATGTATCCCAACATCTTCTGACCCTTGTGAGCACTGTTGACTTCCAACCAAGATAAACTCATTTCTAAGTGTATGTCTTAGTAACACAAACTTGAGGGCTGCCAGTTTTCATGACCTAAGCTCTACTTAACTTTAGAGTCAACTTTCAAAAATGATAGCTTGGCTGAAACTGGTTTGGCTCAGTGAATAGAGCGTTGGCCTGTGGACTGAAAGGTCCCAGGTTCAATTCCGGTTAGGGGTATGTACCTTGATTATGAGCACATCTCCAGTAGGGGGTGTGCAAGAGGCAGCTGATCGATGTTTCCCTCTCATGGATGTTTCTGACTCTCTATCCCTCTCTCTTCTTCTCTGTAAAAAATCAATAAAATATATATATATTTTTAAAATGATAGCTTGGTTTTCAAATATTGATTGTGGAGCCAAGTTAAAATTTTTAAACATAGTTATTAATTAAATACTAATTTTTTAGAAAATATAACTTGACAAAACTATTATCTAACTTCCCTGTTCCCAATTTTACTGACTCTCTCATATACATTATATTTTACATGAAAATATATATTTACATTTGTGCATTAAAACTAATTTCTAACTTCAGATTTAAAGTGAAGAAACACAAAGCAAAAGTCACAATTAATGCTAAAGGTTAATGTTAGATTCATATTAAAGTCATTTTTCCCCATGGGTAGACAAACCCCAACAAGATTGGTTTCTTATGACCCACTCCAATGAAAAGCTACATTGCTCAGATCTAATGATCTATCATGAGACTAATAAGCAGGGATCCTGTTTTATTAATATCTCTTTTGAATTTGGTTTATTTGATTTGTATCTCATTTTGACAATACCTTTCATATTCAATGAGTTGAATAAAAACTGGACCATAGAATGTTGAACTCTAACACAAATAATAAGTGGTTTCAAATTTGTTATACATAAAATACCAATGG